TGATAGTGTTTGATTCATGATGTTCTCAACAGCCTTGGAGATTATTTTCATTATCATTAAAATTAACATATTTAATCTTCACTAATTTTGTAATCATAGTTAGGCATAGTTTTAATAAATTGGATAATTTTATTTATGCTTATTTACCCTTATTGCATTATAATTTGTGAATTACCTATTATTTCTAAATTTGAACGTCTATTCTCATTTTATAAACATGGCTTATAAAATAGGCTATTATAAAATAGGTTTCATAAATATTTCTTTCTCTTTTTACTTGTTTTCTTTTACTGTAATCATTTTATATTTCTTTAATACATATGGAACTTGGTGGCATATGAATGAAATGAGGATACAGTTGAATATTACCGATATATAACCAATTGTGTAAGTGCAATTTTCTGACCAGTGCTTCTCTTTATCTTTTGTAAAAGTGTTTCCTTTCTGAAGCATTGAATTGTTAAGTATAAGAGTATCTTAGTTATGTTTTATTTCATTGAGCTTTTAGTCAATTATTTTACCAGGTACTTTTAATCTATTTTACTGTTTAGCTGTTATAGATTTTTAGTATTTTTTTCTCCTCATAATGTTCATTTTTAAAAGTCTTAGGTATTTTCACTTGTTTGTTAACCTAGTTACACTTAAAATTAGGATAATTTGAAATTACAACAACCTGCCATTAGGATCTTGACTGTTAAATCTATAAATTTGTTAGTTTATAATCCATTCTCCCTATATAAGAAAATGAAATAATAGTTTCCTTTCTTCAGATTTTTAGGTACTTCCAGAAAGTGGTATGGCTTATTAAAGTTGTTCTCTTAATATTCAGAAACATTTACTAGTCATCTGCTATATTTCAGGAATGTGGTAGACACTAAGAAAAATAGCTTTAAAAAACACAGTGCCATTAAGGAGCTCCAACACTGGGAGGATTGCAAATCAGGAAACTGGCAAAGGATGTGCATTAGCAGAGAGGAGAGCACAGGACACAATGCTCAACACAGGACCACAAACCCAGGAGAAGTGTGACAGGTTTCAAGGAGAGGGGGTTTTACTTCGACTGGCAGTTAGATGAGGAAGGGAAAAAGTTGTTTTAGAGAAAGGGAACAGCAAATGCAAAGTCACATAGATTTCAAAAAGCGTGGCACAGAAACAGTACTTTGAGAATATAATTGTGACTGAAGTTTAGCATGTGAATGAGAAATGATGAGTCTTGAGACTGCAATAGGCATGGATTTGATGTTCTTTCAAGATAGCATTGTGTATCATTGGTGGGTTTTAAGAACAAGAGTGGCATAATCATATCTGTATCTAGAAATGTTTCAGGGTAGAATATAGCAGGAGAAAAGAAAGGAGTCAAAGTGAACAAAAAGGCTTATCTGATAATTAGTAAATATGTATTCAGTAAATGAATGAGCAAATGAATGAAACATTGAGTCAGTGTATTACCAGATTTAGCAGCTGAAAAGTAATTGATGACTGCTAAGATTGCATTCATTTAGTGGAATGGTTTAGATGGAAGACAGATAACAATGGAAATCAATGAAAACAAATTACTCATTCAAAGTATTAGATATTTGAAATCAGATCTCTGTTCATTGTTTTCCAACTAGTTATGGCTAGTATATAAGAAATAA